GAGGTGTGGTCTGAGTCTAAGACATGATTGGCATAGACTTTGCGGTGAATTCATGGCTTAATTCGAGAGATCAATTGGTCCTCAACTCAGTCATCGATGGTTTGAAAATATCTTAAGACACAGACATTGAGTGCACTGTTTTGTATACAAAAGTCACGTGTCTATCAAAAACCCAGGCTTTGAAACTGAACTCAATTTACTGATCAATTGAAAAGCGATTAAAACTTTTGTTTTCAATGTTTTCCTGCCATTCAATTGGTTTTGTATTTGTGGACATAATTGAGTAGTATTTCGTATTTCAAATTAATTTCAATTGTAATTGTTTTTAATAAATAATCAAAACTTGAATCGTTTGCGTGAAGTGTGACATACTTTACGTGACGTACAGTACGTATGGCCCACACTGTAGTGAGCACTGCGGTGAGACATTACATCCCTTTCCTGTTGAACGATGTCTAACACGTAAGTTGTGTTTAGTTTGCCTTTCATTGCAATTACTTTTAATTCAATTGTAATCACTAATTGAGGGCACCGTTAGTCCCCACACGACCCCTAAACCCATTGACTGTCCGATAGTTGTAGTGATTATTGAATTAATAGTGTTTTGAGTCGTTTTAGCGTTGAGTTGAACGCCGACACAAAACACGTGTTTTTGTGTTGATTTGATTCATTGGATTAATTGATTGTCTTTTGTCTGATCGGATGGACAGTAAGAGTGCACCGAAGACCGGGTCTGCGGCCCCGACCGGCACTAAAGTCCCGACGGTTCCCGAGACTNTTTTTGTGTTGATTTGATTCATTGGATTAATTGATTGTCTTTTGTCTGATCGGATGGACAGTAAGAGTGCACCGAAGACCGGGTCTGCGGCCCCGACCGGCACTAAAGTCCCGACGGTTCCCGAGACTATCCTCAAGAAACGCAAACAGAGAGCACAGTCGAAGGCTAAGGCGCTCCAGAAGGCCATCAAAGACCGAAAGGTAGGACTCTTTCGATGCATTTATCGATGGAGTGATTGATTGTGTGATTGTATGGCCATTAGGTGCGACACACGAAGCGTCAGTTGATCTTCAAGAAAGCGGAACAGTATGTGAAGGAATACCGGCAGAAGACGCGCGATCTGATCCGTATTAAACGTCAGGCCAAACAACACGGAAACTTCTACGTCCCCGACGAACCCAAACTGGCGTTTGTCATGAGAATCAGAGGGTATGTCCACTCAGATGTAATTCGGGATCAGTTTATGACTTGTATAGACACTAGTAGTAGTAGTAGTAATGTGTGTCACACATACGGGTGACTAGTTTTAGCGGTAGTCTTACGAGTGTTTAGTGTTAATGACATACGTATTGAACGTACGGCTAATCGTGATGTTTGTGCCCTTTGACAGAGTGAATGGCGTGAGTCCTAAGCCCCGCAAAGTGTTGCAACTGTTAAGACTGCGACAGATAAACAACGGAGTGTTTGTCAAACTCAACAAAGCGACGATCAATATGTTGAGAATCGCTGAGCCGTTCATCGCGTGGGGCTACCCGTCCCTCAAGAATGTGCGCGATTTGGTCTACAAGAGAGGGTTCGGCAAAGTGAATGGACAGCGAAAGCCACTCACAGACAACAATATCATCGAACAGCGGCTCGGGAAGAGGGGCATCATCTGCATGGAGGACCTGATCCACGAGATCTACACCGTCGGACCCAACTTCAAGTACGCCAACAACTTCTTGTGGTACTTCAAGCTGAATAACCCGAGGGGCGG